TTTCTAAAACGTTTTTAAAACTGATAAAACTATTCGTAGATATCTGTAACATATAGCGGATATCCACACTGAAACGGGAACTCGCATCGTATGATTTTGCGGGTATCCGAATTAGCGGGTACTCGCAGAACCAGTCCAGAGCCATATGCACGGGTAACGAATCTACAAGCGGATATTCGAATTTTATGTTACCCAGTTCCCTTTCCATTTTTTATTTGTCGCTCGTTATTCATTAAAAAAATTATTAACCAAAAAAGTTTAAGAAATAACGTCCTATTTCTGTTATATACAATATTAAACTCCATATTCCCTCTATTAACTGGATTTTCTCCGCGAAGTGAGTTCCACTCCACTTCCCCCGCTGCCAAGGGGCGTACGACTTCCCACGCGAAGGAAGGTCTATTCCACCTCCCTCCCTGTCTAGAGACGCATGACTTTCTACGTGAAGGGAGGTCCATTCCACCTCCCCCTACCCTTTCACTCTCTCTTTTATTTTTTTCTAATTCCGTAAACGAAGCCACTCTGACTAGTAATGAAATAAAATCTGAATCGAAACAAAGGAATATCTGAGTCTGAACTGAAAGTTTCAGTCAAAGATGATGCAATGCACGTGAAAATGGCGTAGAACATGTGTTCCTCCGAACACCGAGTGCCTGCGTATATGGGATGACCGCTCAAACGCGCGTCAGAACGGATGATCGAATCGTCCCAGATCCATGAACAAAGCTATGAGTCTCTTTTACCAAGTTCTGGTTAAATTAATCGATGATCAACAAAGAATATAATGTTTCAAACGAACGTACAAGTATCGGCGTAAATGCCCTTACACATAAAGTTACACCCAGTTATTTTCTCAATAATACCGTAACAATAAAGATGCAACTTTATATGTAAAAGTATTTTTGTATAAATACTGTTATTTTTTAATAAGTAGTTTGAGTTAATGAAAATAAGCAAAATTTTGTCGGAATTATCTTTTGTCCGATTTCTTCAAAATAAATATATAAATTACAGTTAAAATGGGCAAGAAATCTTCAGGCGCTGAATATAAAAAATAAGACAGAGATAAAGAAAATCAAAAGCAAGCTGGCTCTTTTTTAAAGTACTTAAAACAAGAACAAAAGCCGATCTCTTTGAATGCCAATGAACGTATAAACAATATAGAGATAGATGATATTTGCATAATGACTGAGATTGAACAGTCTGAACGTAATAAAAATTTGAATAGAACAATAATTCAAACAGGACAAAGAAAGCCAAATCGGTCAAAGTTGGATGTTTCAATTAATACATTATATATTCTTTTATTAAATCAATTTATTCCAGATTGTGAGCCGATAACTTTCAGTTTCAACACAATCATTTTGAGACGCTAATAATCTGCCCTAAATGAGATTGCAAGCCTTATAACTCGAAAAGTATTTAATGAAAATAAACTTAATTATAGTGTTTTGGCAAGCTCTCAAATTAAGCTACAAAAATATATAATGAAAAATGGGAAGTTCCATTTAAAAAAATTCAAAGTTCTTGCCCTCACCTTGACAACGCCACTCAAGATCAAATGGTACCATCTTATTATATGTCTTCTCAAAATCCCAAAACTAATTGTCTAAAACATTTTTCTCTAAAATGCACTATTCAAGAGATATTTGACGTGATCGATTAAAATGGGATACTCTGTATGTCAAGATCAAGGTCATCGGAGCAGTTTTCCCTAATCGGCATATTTATCTTTGCAATAAATTTATTTACAGATTTTCGGCACATTAACATTGCTCTAATATAATAGAATGTCTGATTGAGCATCAAATTATTAAATTGCTTGTCAATTTAATTTGTAATATTACTACACTCAGATAACAAAACGGCATAAGAAAAGAAATAGGTGCTTAGTACAAGTTTCTCTTCAATTACCATCATGTTGCTGTCACCAGAGCAATAATAATTACATTTAGAATAACCTAGAGACATGATGTGAAGAACAGTTGTTGGAGCAAACGAGCGGAAATACTATAGCAAACTTATTGCCATAAATGTTGCTACAATCTTTTAGAAATCGTTTTCATAAAATATTTAGTCCACATTTCTGTCAATTGAGTGGAAATGGAGCGTCGTCGAGCAGTATGCGGCATTGCCACCAGAAGAATCGAGTTAAATTTCTCATTTTTAAAAAAAATGACATAGAATAGAATAAAAGATGCAGCATTAAAAGATTTTTCAGCTGTGTTCTAATGAAATAATTTTTTGAAATCCCATGGGCTCTAAAATAAAAGTGTAATATTTTTTTTAAGTTTACCAATTAAATGAAAAATCTCCTGATATAATATTTTAAAATATTATTACGCTTATTATGCTTACTGAGGACTTCGTTCACGTTTGGACAGTTCGACAACGCTCGTTCAGTTAAAATACCGCCAGATTATTGGCAACTTATAGGAGTAAGATTGTAGGCGGAAACTGTTTTCGTCATGTTGCCCTATGATTTCTAATAACTTATTATACGATCGATTTATAAGAGGGCAACTGTGCCATCGAATTGCTCATAAGAATTAATGGCAATAAAAGTCGGCAATATAATAGGCAAAATCGGAGGCTATTTTCTTAAATATTGAAGGCACTTAAGCCAAGCAGTTTCAAACAAATTGACAGCAACCTGTAGGCAATTTGCTGTGTGCATGGTGTAAATATATTATATAAATTGAAACATTACGCATGGCAATAGCATACTAGAAACGATCAATCAAATTTGTGCTCAAATTTATTCTCTTATTGCGCATCCATGGGAATGCTTCACCTTACGAGTATATTATATATTACACCATGGCTATCTGGGCAGTAGTTCAGTTCCGTTTCTGGCTGTGTTCCAAAATTCACTATCAGTGCTGAAAATGTATAATACATGCAACGTAGATTGTAGATTTTCAGTACTGGTAGTGAATTTCGGAACACAACCTAAGTCCGAAAAAATATTCGGCGCGTGTTTCAAATAACATGCATATGTAGTATATAAATGGAAATTATTTAACCGTTTGGTTGTTCAAAGCATAACTTTCGAAAACATTGAACGTTTCTCTGTAAAAATTTTATTATATGTAAACGGCGCTAATCTAAAGTGAACAACATTCAAACATAAACTTCAACTTTGACGGGGCAAATTTTATTTGCAAGTTTCTTCAATTATATCGTAAGACTTATACATTTTATATTTAAAATTCTTTTTTAATTATTACACTACAGTTTTTTTTCGTAGAAGTGTAACGATTTAAGTAAGCAATGAATTTTCAGAAGCACTTCAAATCGTTATTTCAACGAAAATAATCGTACTTATGATACAATTGAAGAAACTTGTAGAACAAAATTTTTGTTTACCTCGTACACACCAAAATTGAAGTTTATTTTTTAATTTTACAAGATTTACTTTAGATAAGCGTCGTTTGTAATAAAATTTTTACAGAGAAATGTGATTCAATAGTTTCGAAAGTTATGTTTTGAACAACAAAACATTGCTTCGTGACCATTTTTCAAAGAGAATGACTTTTGAATTTAGACTTTTTTAGGAATGTTTTATACAAATTTTCAAAATGATAACAAAATTATGAAAAAATACAGATTATTCTAAATCACATTTAAAAATAATACACCAAATTTGGTGACGATTTACTATTTGGATCATAAGTATTTCAATAAATAGTAATTTTTTTTTTAATCTGTGCTCTAATAAAAATGTATGGAAATGTATTATAAAATAAATGACAAAAATCGCGATTTTTAATATAAGTACATAATATATTCAAGATTATTCATATATAGTTACATTACAATGCATGAACTAATTGCCCAATAAATAAACAAAATATTTATTTATTTTATATCTTTGCAACTAATCATAAAAGTGAATTGTTAAACTTTGCACAAATTACTTTGAGTATTTCAAGAACTTTTACAAAAAAAATTTAGATTTTTGTTATCATTTACAAAATTTTAATTTTTAACAATAAGAATAATAACAAATAAAATAAACGACAAAAATGAGTTATTAAATAAAAATGTAATCTTATTCATATAACTTTCATATGTATTGTATATAGTTCGTTCGAAGTGTAAGTATTAAACACATTTCCAAATTAATTTTCTCTTTGTAGAGACTGTACGTGTGATATAATACATCTTTAATTTTAAAGTAATTTTAAATAATCTTTGTTGAGAAATAGGCAAATTTCAAAATAGGAAAACTTTGTTAAAAATAGTCCTAACGAGATCTTTCAAAAAACATTTTAAAGCATAAAGCCTCTACTTTTAAAATCAGTAATTGAGAATAATCCGACTTTCTTTTACGAAGATATAGATATACAAATGAAAATCCGTCAAATCTAAAAATTTACAAAGTTCCATGGCCTGAATTAAAAATCGCAGTACATTCTGTTTATAGCTTACAAAAAAAAATGAATCTTTACCTTTAATTTGATTTTTTGTTGAGAGTTGTATGATTTTTTTTACAAAGTTATTCATTATTTGAAGTAAGAAGGATCGTTTTTGCTTCAGTAATGAATAACTCCGCGAAAAAATCATATAACGTTATCAAAACAGCAAAAAATAAGTAAAAATTCGCTCTTTCTGTAATCAGAATTTATTTGCAACTTTTAATTCAGACCATGGAACTTTGTAAAGTTCGTACAAAATTTTTAGATTTAATGGATGTCCATTTATATCCCTATAACGTTATAAAAAATCAATCAGATTGAAATATCAATTACTGATCTTGAAAATAGAGATTTCAAGCTTTAAAATGCTTTATTAAAATTTTTGTTCAATAATTTTTGACGAAGTTACACTCACTTGAATATTATCTATTTTTGGAGGCCAGACTAACAATTTGTAAGTAATCTTGTATTTCTTTGCATTGTGTGTGTGTGTGGGAGAAATACTGAATATATATATATATATGTATTCAGTATTTCTTCCACATAAATTCTTTCTTTTTAAATAAATGATAGTATTACCTTTTCATTGTTCCTAATTTGTATCTTTTCCATTTTGTTTGTTAGACATGCTAACCAATGACGTTATATTCCTTGACTTTTATGTATTTTTACTTTGCTGTGTGTGGACTCAACTCTTTTTCGCCTTTCAATGAAGGCGACATCACATCTTATTACTGAATATTATTGTCTTGTAATGTAATCTGTAACAAAAAAAGTGTTTTATTATTTTCATATTTCTTAATTCCTTAATACACATCTCTTTTTATTCGTGTTGTTTGATTATTTACGTCACTTCATTCTTGTAATCATTTAACGTTTTTTTGTTATTTTTAATTTAATTTTTATTTTATTTCTAATTTTTTTAACTTTCATCTTAAAGGATATGATCTCTCGCCGCTTGTTAAAGTGACCACGTTCAGCAGAAAATTTACTTTGTAACTATTGGAAGTTTTCTTCACCTTGGATTATACTTTTAGATCTAAGAAAAAAGAAAACTTCCAACAATTGCAAAATAAACATTCTGCTGCAATGCAGCCGATCCTGAAGATGAGAGGATCCTCTCCCTAGCAATGGTTTCATCATGGTTGCAATTCTGATTCAGAGCTTTGACATTTTACATTAAATTTGTCCGTTACATGCTCCAAAATCTAATATGCTCTAACAATGGCCTAGTTTACACCCAATAACCTGATATGTATCCTGATCTATACCTTAACCTAAAAGAGCATTTACCCCATCTAAACCTATAATATTTTTGGACTTAATATAGAAGCAATTAGTCTCACGTGAGTGCCATCTGCCAGTATTTCTTTATACTTTACGCCTTTAGGTTGTCTACATGCGTTTACATGCGTTAAAGATGGTTGCGTCGTGCGGCCTAAGAGAGGTCAAGGATCTTGAAAAAGAGCAAGGTTACAGCTATTTACATCGCTCCGACCTGTCGTGTTTAGGTTAGATTTAGAGTATAGGTAGCGGCCTAAACGTAGGGTGTAAACTAACTCTTATGCCAATAACTCTTATGTACTCTACTACACACTGAACGCGACGAGCGATATCCAATGAAAACTCTGCTTTTTTGTGACGATGCAAAGCAGAGATCTCATTGGATATCGCTCGTCGCTCATCTCTTATCGCGTCAGTATGCAATAGGCATTATTCATTCCAACATGCTTGTTAGAGTAAGTAGGAGTAATGATAGGAGTATGCGACACAAACAAATTTTTTAATATGTTCCATAAAAAATGATCTCATTCTTGTTCAAAAATATCTCTTTTATTTCCGCATGCAAATTTGCTGCACGCGTATAAAGTAAACGGGAATGCCATGAGTGTAATAATATATATTTTTTTAACTCAGTTACTAAGCCCATTTGTTTTTAATCCTATTTTATTTATATTATATGTTTAAGAATAAATTTTACTTATTATCTTTGGTGATTTAGATTGTACAAAAGGTATATTCAATAAATTTCTATCAAAATAATAAAATAGAAACTTTATATTAAAAATATATATTTTTGGAAATTTAGATACAAGATTTCATAGGTAATAGTGTAAAATAAAATTTATAAATAAAAAGTAACAAAAATTATATAAATGTTTTCATTTGGTCTTTAAAAGAACATTTTTTATTTTTTTAACTATAAAAAATTATCGCTTGTATATAATATAGTGAATAATATGCAATATATATGAGTTTAATTGTGTTAATATTATATTGTAATAGCATGTCATAACACCATTTGTATAAAAATTCACAGATGAAATAAAAAAACAAATATTTGTATAGAGCTCATACAAAAAATATACAAATTAATAAATCAGCATAAAAATATATGTACACATTAAGAATAAACTTTATTTTGCGCATAACGCCTTAATTTAATAAGTTATAAATGTAAAAAACGATTATCTGTATAATTATAAGCAAAGATATGTTACTATAGAAGAACTTTTATAAAATTTACGAATATTTCGTGATAAACAATTTTTGCGACTATATGAGCGACTTCCTTTATTTTAGATTTTCTTTTCCAAGCAAACTTGTTCTATTAGCGTGTGCTTCTCTTTTGTTGCTCTCTTAATATTCATACTTTCTATGTGACTAAAATGGCTAATTAGAATTAGAAAATGAGTGAGAGACAAAATGCATGACAATATTCTCATTTCGCGCATTCTATTAGAATAAAAGTAATGAGTATTGAGAAAGAAAATCATTGAATAGAGAAAATGCTCGATCCCTATAATCTTGGAATCAACCGTACCGGAAATCAATCGTATTACTTAATAAATTCATCATATTAAGATTTTCGAACCTTTCTTTGGTCTTATTCAAATACATTTCTCTGCTTTTAGTAAATTTTATGCAGATAAGTATGCAATGATTTATACATAAAATATTCAAGGGCATTTCCCTCAAACTCTTAGATCCATAATAATAATTCTCAAATGCAAAGCATTCAAGAATTGCTTAATAACATACTCACATATCATTCGTTATCCGTAGTGTCTTCAATGACAGAATCCCAATTAAATTCTGTGGCACTTTGCCTCGATGGCAATTCACCAAGGTGTTGAAATCGTTGTACGAAATGTGGATCACGATCTCTAAGCCGTTTAAATCTTTGAAAAGCAAGATTCTTTGCAAATTCGTAGAGTTCTAGGTCCAGGCTGTTGAGTTTACGTACGGCGTCTAATTGCTCTGTACTAAGGGTTGCCATAGTGGCTGCACTAAGTGTGGCATTATGCTGCTCAAATGCAACCGCAAATCGCATTTTAAATGTTTCTTCGAAGGTGTACTGCCCTACCTGACACATGAATAAAGTTTATCGTTAGTATATATAAAGTAAAATATAAGAGATATAATTATCAATTTTGATAATTATAAAATTATCAGATGTAATTATAAGATAAATGTTCACATAAAATCAATCTCTTCATAAATGAATAACCTTGACATAGTCCTTTAATCCCTTTCAATAATTCCCTATTTCTTTAATTCCTTACAATATTATAAGCTGTTATTCCTATGTTCGTGGATTGATTGTTTAACTTTATGTAAATATTTATGAGTGTTTCCCTCTCAATAACATTTGGGAGAAATAGGTTTATTTCAAACAACCCATTGGATAAATATCTTCAAAAATCAATGACCTGATATACAAGAAGTCCCAGAATGATCAAATATTTCATGTGCTAATAGAGTGACCTAAATTAAGTCGAAAAGTCCTCATTATTTTGCAATTTTCACAATAGTTAACAAGGCATTAATTACTAAAAATCGCCGAATATTGATTTTCAATAATTTTTCAAGTACCATTAAAGAGCCGCGGTCTCGCGCCAAGTACGCGCGCCCTTTGGGCGCAGGAGACACTACAGTATATCTTTACTCGAACTGTCGAATTGACCGAAAACACTACAGTCTATCTATACGGCGAACAAAATTTTTAATAGGCTCATTCGATAGCTTGAGGTTCCATTGTTATGAAAGTGTCTTTATTTTTTTCTACGATGAATGTTAAAAGAGATATTTCAAACGAATGATAATTTTAATTCCCTGATATAAAAAATATAATTATAATAAATTTAATTATTGGGAATTAGCGCTATACTACCTGCGCGATAAATTTCAATATTATTAAATTGTATCTTTCATATTTAATTACTAATTTATATACATGTTTCGGCTAACTTTTTAGCCATTTTTAGTATATATAGATGAATGTGATTAAGTAAGCGATGAGATGCATAAGACATAGGCTATGGTATATACCCGTATGTTTTTCATCATTTCAACATCCACAATGTTTCCATGTGAGGTGGTCAATCACTATTTCTTAGAGTGAAAACGTAACCAGTTGGCTAGCTGAATGGTATAACGGTGATTAAGCACCTTCAAGTGATATTCACAAAGTTTATTAATGAAATCTAAATATATACATTAGCAATAACGGTATTATCTCACATCAAACCACTGTTGATAAGCGTCAATGATACAATATAAACAATTCAGTAAATTAATAATTAAAATAGCTTCGCAATAAATTATTATTCGTATTAGAGCATTGAAGTAAACTGCTGTCTTGTCAAATTTAAACTGTGAAACGTTAAGATTTTTCGGAAGTCATTGCTGAATGTGTTATGTATCATAAACATTGTTTATGTAGTTGAGAAAATTAAAGCATCTTTAAGATCGGTTCATATGTCTTGTCTAAGAATTCTGTATCTGTTTGTAATGTTATTATTTTGTCGCTTTATGTGTATCATTTCGGACATTAGTCTTTTATTATAATTTCGTTCAGTGTCCAAAATTTCAATGTCGTCCCAATCAAATTCATGATTGTAATGCAACCTATGCTCAGTTATTACTAATTTTATGGTAATGCTTCTTTTGATGGTTTTTGTGTTCGATTATTCTAATCTTTAGTTGCGCTTGTCCAACATAATCTTGAGCGTTTGTCCAACATAAATTATATTACAATCTTTGCACCTGCTTTTGTAGACTACATTCTTCCTAGATAATTTTGAAACTGGATCTTTATGAGCTTTTACAATGTTATTGAGTTTGTTCATGCTAAAGAAAGTCTCATATTTAGATCTTTGGTAATATGTTTAAATTTGTTCGAATTATATTCATTGAATAGTATTGTGAACCAAGAATTTTTTATTTCGTCTCCATTGTCAGTTTTTTATTTTGTATTAATGTTT